CTTAATCTTCTTTCAGAGTTTTTCTACATAGACAGAATCAATACATATTTCAAAATATCATTTATATAGTCTTAATACATAATGACCTAAATAGGCCAACCTTTGACACGCTTTTTTTTTAAAAAGCATGTGGTCAAAACTCAGATTAAAGACAAAACAGTTTAAACAAAAGGTGCTGATCACCCAGCCCAGGAGGCTGGACAAGGCATGCAGAGCTGGTCTGTGGGCTGGATCAGGCCCACAGACTAGTCCCACATGCCAGATCCAGTGTGTAGGGGCTGGTCTAGTTCAGGCACAACATATAGCTCATGCCCTGGACCAGCCAACCTGTGGCTTGCAGCACGCATGTAGGGCTGGTGGGAGGTGCACGCTACATGGCACGCAGGGTCAGTGTGAGGCATGTGCTGCGCATGGAGCCTGTGCCGGGTCCCAGACAGACTGCAGATTCAGTGCATGGGGGCCAGTCTGATGCAGGTGTCATGTGCAGTGCCCACCTCAAACTGTGCCACAAGCAGCATACAAGGTCATGACCAGGGTATGCCACATGTGGTGCACCAGTTTACAATCCCCAGACAGCACTGTGGGACAAATGATAAAGTTCAGCAGCCCATATTTTTGATACTGCTGGGTCTAACCATCAGTTAAAATCATAGGGTTTTTATACACATGCTCCGGGATGCAGGGGAAGGGGGTGGCGCTTCAGTTAAAGTGCCTGGAGTGTCATGTGTATCAGTATCCCCATGCTGAAAAATGGCGGCGGATGTGCTTTAACTAAAGGTCGTCAAATGAGCATTAGTTAAAGCGCCCCCGCGCAGGGACACTGATACATGTGAGCCTGGAGTCTGCTGGAGTGCAGTAATTACCACGCTTCAGCAGACTTGATTAATTGAGTCTGTTCCAACAGGCTGTAATTACAGCGCGTCAGAGCAGCCTCGTTGCACGTGTATAGGCATCTGTAACAGTTAAAACTTCCAACCCTGTCAAAAACTCCATTGATTCAACAAGCTCCCTAGGTAGTCTACTCCATTGTTTAACTGTTCTGCCAGTTGGCAAGTTTTTCCTAATGTCTAATATATATATTTCTTGCCATGGTTCCCTTGAGTCTTAACCTCTCTAAACTAAACAAACCTAGCCTTTCTGCATAAATCATGTTTTTGAGACCTCTGATTGCTTTTGTTGCTCTCCTCTGGACTTTCTCCAGTTGGTTCACATCTTTCTCTAAGTGTAAAGCCCAAAACTAGACCCAGAACTCCAAATGAGACGCTACAATGCCGTATAAAGTAGGAAGATTCTTTCGCCTGTTTTACGTATGGTACGTATGGCGCTGTTGGTGGCAGGGGGTGTGGCGAATGCCAACTGGTGGTTGGCGACCACCCACAGATGCCATCAGCAGCGGCCAGCAGCTATTGCAGACCACCCGCAGATGCCGCTGGAGTTGAGGTGGTGAGTGGCGACCACCTGCAGGCGCTGCTGGCAGTGTCGGCAGTGCCTGTTCACAGGGGGTGCACGTGCACCTGTGTGCACCCCCCAGCCCTGGCAGTGTGACCCACACCTGACCCAAAGGGACCCGTGCCCTGCTGTCAGTGCAGAAATGTAGTGGGGCATGTATCCCCTGTGCCCCTCCCCAACCTTCTCCCCTCCCCCCTGTGTTGCCAATGAATGTGCCTGGACAGTTGTCCCCCGCCCCATAAACTTATTTGCCTGTATTGCTGCCCATGTGTGTGTGCATACACACACGCACATGTAACCCTGCCTCCAAATGCACTCCCTCCATCCCTAAGCATCTCCTTGCAGGCTGGAACTCTGTCAGGCTGCAAGGGGAAAATCATGGTTTCCCGCTTCAAAGAGGAAACTGGATTTTTCTCCTTTAAAGGGGAAAATACGGGTTTTTCTATGGGAAATGGAAAACCTGGATCCTTGGTCATCATATTGCGTGTACTGTGTGGCTTACCTGGAACAAGTGGGTGAAGGCATGGATGTCACTGGTGGCTGGTGAGAATAGCTTCCCAAAACATCCCTCTGGAACCTCAAAAGGAAATTAATAGTGTCATATATCATGGGTGCAAATGGTTCACAACAAAATCTTTTGGTTAGTGGTATCAAAGGCAGGTGACAAATCTAAATGACTCTCAATAGATCCTTCAGTTTTTTTCTCATGTTAGTTCACTGCAGTGCAGTCGCTTCAGCATCTGCTCCTTATCCAGGCTTAAAATTTGATTGAGGCTAGAGAAATCCAGGCTCTCCAAAAAGTGTCCAAGCTCTCAAGCTCTTCTGCTCTAACAATTTAAATGATTGTTTTCCAAAGGTGGACCAGATTGGGCCCTGTATGCTGCTGGCTCCTGCCTGGATCTAACCCCATGTCAGCCCCAGGGCCCTTCAGAGCCTCTGCCTCACCCTGCTTAATGGGATCAGGCTCTGGGGGCTCCACATCATCCCCCATCACACAGGGCTGGGGTTGGGTTTGTGGCTGCCCTGCATGCCCAATCTAAGGTACAGGGCCACGGTCCTGTGGGACTTCCTATAAGCCCATGGGGAGCCATGTGGGCTGGATGAAAGGGTGCTGAGGGCCAAATTTGGCCCATGGGCCAGGGGTTTAGTTGCATCTAAATCGAGCAAAAGCCACATACAAGCTTCCCAAAAAATTACTGGGACTGTCCGTGCCTCACTGTTGTATTGAAGCCATGTCAGTCTAAACCAGTGATTGTTAACCAAGGTGCTACGGCACTCTAAGGTGCCTTGAGATCCTTTCAAGGGTGCCATGGGATGCCATACAATGTGCCATTACTATTCTGGAAATACCTGAATCATTTTTCCTTTCTTAAGAAGATGGGAAAAGAATAACAATAGTTTTCTATTTCACTAGTTGATCTAAGGATAGACATGTTGGGTTTTTTTATTTTTTTCCTAAGTAACTCTCCATGTAGCAGTCATAGCTCTGTTCTGAAAGTATGTTCTGCATGCTGTTTGATTCCGTGTAGTGAGAATTGTCATTCTGTATTGGGACCCAACTGCTGGAATGGTAAATCAGCGTCTAATTTCGCCAAAGCTTATAAGTTTTTGTGGGGAAGGAATAGATAGCAAAACATCTTATTTAAAATTCATTTTAACCAGGCTTTTCCAACTGAGGTAGAGGGAGAGCTGTCTGTATGATGAAGAGTAGATTGGCAGCCTGTCAGTTTACTCAGTTCATATTGTAAGCGACAAAGAACATAACTGAAGATGTTTATGAGAAGCAGTAGGAGCGCCAGTTTGAATTAGAGGTGTATAGATTGTAGCCGTATTGGTCTAAGGACATAGGCAGACAAGGTTCTTTGGGTAAATCTGATGTCTTTTATTAGACCAACTCAAATAGTTAGAAAAAAATCTTTGTTTACTATTCATTCCATCGAGGAAGAGTGCACACCAACTGCAGATGCTTCCTCAGCCTGAGAAAGGGTGCTTATACCCGAAAGCTTGCTAAGAAATTTTTTTCTAACTATTTGTGTTGGTCTAATAAAAGATATCAGATTTACCCAAAGAAACTTGTCGGTCTGAATTAGAAGCATGTCTTGACTGTTGGGCGGTGGATTATTTAAGTAATCGTGTACATGCTACCGAGGCTCTGGTACAATTAAGTGTTACTCTGTGCTGAATTATCACTACCTTATTGCAAGATGTCTGAAATCAGAAATTCCTTGTAATGTTTCTCTTTTCTCTTACATCTTTAAAAAAAAAAATTGTTGATTTGGCTACCAAGGTCTTTCAAATAAAAAGAGGAGGCTGTCCATAAATAGCAGGCTACCTCAAACTTCAAATGACTTTTACAGTAATTTAGAATACTCTGGAAAACTTTAGAAACTTAAGAAAACTGGTATCAGTTTAATTTGCTGTTTGTGTGAAGTTGTTTTTTCCCCCTCTTATGAGCTACCATTTAAGCAGGCTGGCCTGATACTGTAAGATGGACCCAAAATATGAATCCATGCGCTGCTTTTTGCCTGTAGTATCACTGTAAATTTTTGGTAAGTGGATTTTTGTGTGTTGGCTGTCAGTGTAGCTTATGCAGCTCTTGTTTGACTGGTGCTTCAGTTTTCTGGAAAAAAGAACAGGACAGCTTGAGTATCAACTCTTTGTTACATTTGACTGACCAAATTTATCTTCAACTTGATATTAATAGAACAGAATTTCTTCTACTAACTGTTGTCCTCCTTTTCTCCTACATCACTGATGTTTTTTCTTTCTATATTGGAAATAAAGGAGATAACTGTTATCATTAGCTCCGTCCTGGGTTTTTTTCAAAACGTCTCTTGAAGTTATAGTTGAGGTCTTAAGGTCAGGCAGCAGTGTGGACAGAAATGTGGCTTGGGACTGCTGTGATTAAGAAATGGGCAAAGAGATGCATGTGAACCCTCTCCACGTCTGACATTGCTGTCGAGAATTTGACAGTGACTTGAGGAAATATTAGTTGTATTGAAAGAAGACTGAACCTGCCTGGATGGGATGAGATTGGAGAAGTTTAGAAGTATTCTCTAAAATTCAGATTCTTTGAAAATCAAGCATTGCTTTCATTACTTTAAAGGAGTTTTTTTTTAAATTTCCTTTAATGATAGTATAATGATAGTATAATATATTTTTCTCTTCCTCCTTACAGTGTAAGATGGGGAGCCCTGGGGCAAGGCTGCCACAGTGATTTTGTGGGGGAGTGAGAAGAGAGGTGGGACATTGAGTTATTTGGTTGTGGAAGAGGAGTAACTACTTACTAAGTGTTGCTAATTATCGCATGTCTGACAGCTCAGCAGGATCTTATAACTCCAGCTGGGCTTCAAGAAAGACCTGTAATTGCAGCCATTCCACCAAGGGGGGGGCCTTTGTGGACATTTGATTTCCATGCAGACTTTTAATTGTTCTTTTAACCAGCCCGAGCATGTCTTGTTTGGATTCCAGTTGTACAGCTTCCTGGGCTAAAGAAAGGGTAGGTTTTCTGGAACTCAGATTGCTGAAGAAATGCAATGTTTCTTTTGCAGGCTGGCAGCCTCGATGGTTTCTTCTCTGTGGAGGTATCTTGTCATATTATGACTCTCGGGAAGATGCCTGGAAAGGCTGTAAGGGAAGCATTCAAATGGCCGTGTGTGAAATTCAAGGTAACTGAGGAACAATAGAACCCACTTGTCACTGCTTACTACAATCTAAATGTACATCATCGTATCTCACTTGAGGCTTGAATTGGCTCTGATGGGATCCCAGGGCTGAGACTGAAAATCAGTCCCCGGCCTGGGATCCCACCAGAGCCAGTTCAAGGGTCTGTTGTGGTGCAGAGGCTGGGAGTGACACCCACACAGCAGAGAAGCTAGTCTCACTCCCCACACTGCATAGAAATCAGTTCAAACAAGGGCTGGGACCAGCTCCTGTGACATGCCAGTGCTCCCCCAGCCTCTGTGCCACATAGGAGCCTTGAACTGACAGGGTGCTAGTGCAGTAGGGGTAGGGGCTGGGACCCAACAAATAGCTTTGTTGACCTGTCTGCCCCCTTCTCATTGCATTACCTCCATGGGGCAGTCCAGTGTTAGCTCAACACATGTTAGGTAATACAATCTGGAGATACTCCTCACTGGGAAAGGCCTAATTTACTATGCTATGATGGTACTTAGCATGTACTTCACTGCTTGGACTCTAGCGTTGTAATTGCAGTTAGTATATGCTAAGTGTAATGAGTAACAATACCTTGAGAAGGAGTATAAATCCACAATATAAGAGGTAATCTACATGAAGGAATAGCATTGTAATTTCTTCTTTGAACCACAGAAAGAAGGGTCTACTTGAATCTTCCCTTGAGAGTAAAGTATTAACGAGTTTCTCTTTCATGGGCTGAAGTATCCTTCCCCCAGAGGCTGGCAGTTTAGTTTGCTAATGTGGACTGCAAAGTGGCAAACTGGACAGTAACTACTCCTCTATCCTTAAGTCTGAATTCAAATTTTCCTGCTGTTTTTCTGTTGAAGTTTGGGTGAGTTAAAAGAAAACAAATTTTTTCACTCGAGAGGAAGTGTCTAATGCCATGTCTTAAAACGTGTGTTGTTCTTAGTTCATTCTGCAGATAATACTCGGATGGATCTGATTATTCCTGGAGAACAATGCTTCTATCTGAAAGCAAGAAGTGCAGCTGAGAGACAAAAGTGGCTGGTTGCCCTTGGAACTGCCAAGGCTTGTCTGACAGACAGTAGGACACAGAAAGAAAAAGGCATGGACTTCCCTCTCAGTACTGAGCACTTCTGACCTTCTGGACTATTTACTTGTTTTCTTTCTCCCTGTATATATTAAGAGTTATACAACTAGGGATGGTAAAATGCCAGTGTCTGAACCTGGACAACAGGATTTAATCACCTCTGAACATCAGATCACTTGAGGAACCTAAATAGTGTTAAGACATTATTTCTAACAGTGTGGGTTTGACAGGTTTGGTCCAGATATGACATGTACAAGATATCAAATCCTACATGTCTTTAGGTCTCTTGGGTTTAACCACCTAGATCTGAGTTACTTAGATATAGACTCCCTAGTTGCTGACACTTCTCTTGTTATTAGGAACCTGCGGTCCAATTACTTAGGTCCTGCAGGCAGTTTCTCAGCCCTTCCTTTCTCTGGCTTCCATTGCTTAAACCCATTCCCTCCAATCTCTACCTGACTGAATGGGTTCTGTGGTCTCTAGCTGTACTCATCTAGTGCCACGTGCTAATTAAGTTAGGAATGCACATGCTTTGAAAATTAATTTTTCTGAGGCACATTCCAGTGCTAAGAGTTCAAGATCTGACTCTGTCAAGTTTGGCAGCATCTTCTTCTCTCCTGGTGGCTGGTCTCTCTTGATGCTGGCAGGAACCAGTCAGCTGGAAATTCTCCGGGTTATTGAATGGTCTTGTCCATGAATTGTAGCATGAGACCCAATGCATGGCCACACTGAGTTAATATGCCAAGCTCCCTTGCTGCTCTGAAGGTGTTAAAGCAGATAGTGACATTAGTAAGTCTGTAGTCCTGGCAGCTAATTTGTTTCTTCCTGTGTTAGCTCCTGATAAGGTGAGAAGTGCCACTTCCCCATCCCCACCCAAACCTTTTGTGCTCTTGTTATGCAGTGCATTGAGTAGGCATTTACCAGTTCGGACTGGCTCTGGATAATGCAAATTTGCAATGCAATGTGAGTTTGAAACAACAAATGATAAAACACACAAGGAAATCCATAATGTGATATGCTGTCACAGATGAAATATTAGTGATATGTTTGCAGAACTTCAGATCCTTTCATTCAACAAAATTAAATTGGCTTTCAGGCATTCTGGTCCAGAATTATTATCATGAGATATATTAAGTTGATCTTTCTTTGTCAAAATCTATTTCCATTTTCTTGTATAGTTTACAAGAAAGGATCTATGCCAGCATAATTGACAATATAATTGTTTGTACCTAAGTCTACTTAACAAATAGGAACATCATGATGTACAAGGACTTATTACTTGAATAAAGACTTATGATTCAGACATCTTTTACTTGAGACTCTTTGTAGTATGTTTGTGTTTAATATTAACAGCTGAGGTACAATGCACTATTCCTATGTATGCTGGTTAATTTTCAAGGGACATACTCTTCCACCTGTCATAAAATGAATTTATAGCTACCCTGGTTTTAAATATGACACATTGGAACCTATAGAGAGCATCTTGAAATGGAAACATATTGACCGACCAGGTTAAACGGGATTGAAATTGTATTAACTTTTCAGAACATCTACTCAAAGACTGAGAAAATAAATCCAACTTTTTTTGTTTCGTTTTTAGAATTTACTGAAAACACTGAAGCCTTGAAAACCAAAATGTCAGAACTTAGACTGTATTGTGACCTCCTCGTTCAGCAAGTAGATAAAACTAAGGATGCTAGCATTTCTGGTGTATCAGAAACCGAGGTACAGCTTTGTTTTATATAAAACACACCCGCGATGTGCTGAGCTCTCTAAAATTGCCCTTCCAGCCTCATTGCCTTACAGATTCTGCCCATAATGACATTAGGAAGATTGTAACTCTGCTTTTTTAACATGACACTGACTCTCCTGGTGAATGCATAAAAGAAATAGAGTATCCTATCCAAGCACTAAATTTTTGTATCATAAAATACCACATTGCCATGTGTTCTGGTGATCAAAACATCTGTTATGCTGGCTAGTACTTGGGTTATCTGCAGTCACTGCGATCAGGATAGCAGTGCCTCAGACCATTCATTTTTTGGTGTCATTGACCTTGTGCATGCTTCATAAAAAGGCAAAATAGAAGTGCATATCACCTGGCCTTGATTAGCCTGCTCTCCAGCCTCAATTAACATTCTGTTTCAGTCCATTCTGTTCTATTAGCTGAAACCCTGAAAGGTTAAGAGGCAACATTAGGGTCACAGTGAAACTAAACTGAAGGAAGAAACTTGCTGATTATCCTTTATAATGAGGATCAGCTTTTTAACCAGTTTGTGTTCCAGAGGTATCTCTTTCCAGCAGAAGCAGCTGTTGCCATTGAGAACAGCCATCTGATGGAACATGTGCATTTCTTGGTCTGAGGTATATGGAAGTGGAAGGATTTTGATGTAGTTGGAAAGTAGGTGTGGTGTTGCAGTTTTACCTTCTATGATGCCTCCCAGAAAACAGTTTGTTTTCAGGGTGCAGGACAAGCAGATTGAGCTCATTGAAAGTTAGATGTTAGTGCCTAAACTGCCTGAGTAGGCATCCTGGATGAAGCCATTGCTGTGGATCTGTTTGTGTAGTAGTAGTGGTGGATATTGCCTGCCCATGATTAGCCTGCTTTCCTGGTTAAATTAAATTCTTTCAATTTGTTGTGGAAAAACCGGCTTCCCCAGACCTTGCAGCTGAAGGGGTTAACTTAAGAGCAGTCCACTATCATAACATATTTTTTAGTTCCATCTAAAAATGGTGATTTACACAAAGAATGGGGTTTTGTTCTGCACATTGTTCAATTGCAGTGACTTGGGTTAACATATTTGTACCCAAAATTATCCTAACTCAAGTCGGCTCTATGCTACCCATTTCACTTGTCAGATTTTTATTCCTTCATCATGGTATCCTCTAGTTGTGCTAATGTTGAACACACTAGGGCAAGTAGTTAACATACTTAGCTATGGGGATAAGTCAGGCAAATGTTGCTGTTGAAATACTTCATATTCAGATTCGTAGGGCAAGAGGTTGGTAGCAGAAGAATGTTTTTAGATAATGAAATCCCGTTAATGTTTGCTGTCATTGCTCTGAGCAGCAGTACTACTTTAAGTTCTTCAAACATACTGGGCTTCCTCTGATTAAAGAAATATGGCTGCTGTGGTGGTAGATTGTCTAAAGGTCAAACTTTCTGAAATAGTGTTTTTTTAAGGGAAATAAAGAGATTTTCAATCTGGCTATTTCACAGAATGGAATCGATATGAGAGCACTGTTGAAATCAACATGTAACACCTTCCTGAAGACTCTTGAAGAATGTATGCAGATTGCAAATGCAGCCTTCACTTCTGAGTTACTACATCGCACTCCACCAGGATCTCCACATTTGGCAGTTCCCAAATCAAACAAGGTAAGCTTGCATAGTCTCAGCTGCCAGACTCAGGTCTGAAAGCAAAATGTTTTTCCTGCAACAAAGTAATTGTGGAAGTGCAGAGTTAAGGATTTTAGCCTTGGATTTGACTCATGACTATCCATAAGTAAAGTCCTGGTGCAGGTGAAGTGAGGATTGCAGGTGAAGTAAGACTCTTTTTAAAGGTTATCTCAGTGACCAATCACTTGCATTCAGTGGTTGGATAGACTTTTTAATCAGTAATACTCAAAAATGGATCCACTCTCAAATATCCATGTCCCAAGAAAATATGTCAGGCTGACCTGCTATGGAAGTCTAGTATGAATTTTTAAAAATGACCTCATCATCATGTCTGGAGTTCTCAATCCACAGAAAAAATGTTCAGATCTGGGGCAACAATCCTGGTTAACAGCAGATGAGGGTGCAGGCAGGAACGGATGTGTTGCTATTCAGCTGAAGTGCGCAAGGTTTATTTTATAGCATGTACCCAGCAGGATGATTTCCTTTTTCCATAACCCAGTCTTTCATTGGGCTCTTTTGAAATGGTGGATTTGTTTGTTCATCTCTCACATTACTGCGCTGGTTAGGTTTGTGGAGACAAGCAACGTATTGGCCAATGGATTAGCTTCTCCCTCAGTATTTATTAGTTAGCTTTTTAGATCTGTCTACAAAAGGGAGGCCAGATATTTTTCAGGTTGTGACTCCAGTATGTATTTTGCTGGACTGCTTTTATAGGCCCCATTTCAGTGAAACAGGTGAGCGCATGTTCAGCTTTCTTTTAATGCACTGAGAAGTTTGAGAAACCCAAAATGTTGCTTTGCTTTGAAGGGTAATTTTTTTCTGTCTTATAGGTGAAACATTCTGTTACCTCTAGCTGCACCACAACAGAAAGGTACATTATAACTTTGCTCTTTGCATTACAGCTTTTTTAAAGAATTACATAGTCTTTTTGGTTATGTCTGCCTCTTTCATTTCATCTTACTACCCTGCTTATATCTGCTGTTTACAATATCAAACTGTAGTGATGCAAATGATGCATCTTAAAATGAAGATAGCAAATAGCATTCCCCTGTCATCTGGCTCACATTTTTCCCTATTTTCTTCTGTTGGCTACTTACCAGAAACCTCACCACAACCCCTCTTAAAGACTTCTGATACAGGGAACAAAGTAGGCATCATGCTTATCTCTTTAATCCTCTCTCCCCTATCTTTGCCTTCCACTTCTGTGTGCTAGCAGTGTGATTCCTGTGGAACAGATCTGGGTGAGAAAAAAACAAACAATATCATTAATGCCATAGCCAGGGAACTCTGTCTTAGCCACATTCTCTTCATTTAACTCTACTTTTAAACCAACTGGGATGGTCCCTGTCCCTTTTTAATAATATACCTTTTTCTTTATCTTTACTATTTTGCAGACTGCAGTCAGTTCATTTTAGACCAGTATTTTCCTCACAGCAATCTTAACAGCCTACAGTTTGATTTCATTTTCTCATATTGCTGTGTGCAGTTATGCATGAAGAAACTTGTCTAAGCCAAGTAACATATTTTACACATTGGTTTGAATATGTACTTTGTTTAATCCCTACAGACAGATAGAACTGAACAGCTGTGAAAATGGCTCCTTAAAGACAGAAGCTAATCACCATGAACATGCCCTGATTAAAAATCTGATGCCCTTACACACAAAAACTGATGGAGGAAACTGTGATATTTCAGATGAAGACCACGTAGAAAAGAATTTGACAGGTAAATGTGTATGGAATATCCATCTTTGAATGTTTTCAAGAGCAAGTTAGGCAGATACTTGACTAGGATGGTTTAGCTGGGGGCAGCCCTGTCCTGAGCAGGAGGCTGGATTAAATGACTTTCTGAGGTCCCTACCACACCTACCGTTTTGATCTATACTTTTCCCTTCTAAGGCCTGTGGGTATTTCTCTTTCCAGAAGGAGCTGAGCATGTTAGAACAAGATAACCACAGTTTAGTTTATATCACACCCTTGTTGGTAGCCTTAATAAAGAGATCAAGAATTGAATGGTTACCAAGACTAAAGTGCTCCCTTGAGCTATGTATAACTCTTTCAGAGGCAAGATAGACATGAGAGGTAGTGCAGTCTGGCAAAGCTTTTGTTCTTTAGACACACATTTTCATCTCCCTAAAGCCTTTTCAACATCTTTTCAAATATCAAGGCCCAGCATGTTAGAAGCTCAGTGTGTTTTTATAGTTTCATTTTTAAGTTATTTCAGACATTGAATAAAACTTAGGACAATATTGCATAACGTTGGGTGAGAAAAGGCAGTACAAAAGGAGAATTGTAAATCAGTGTTGGATTCTATCTCGTACTCTAAAGTGTTCCACTTCTGTTATTTAGAAGTAATTATATTTGTTTTCTCATTTTGTTGACTGGACTAGGGTTTCCCTTAGAATACATTTATGCAAGAGGGTGTATACCAAGAGGTACTCAGCTTATGGAGTTATGCTGTGTCCGTCACAAATATTTAAGTAACACTCTTGCTTTCTAGAATTCCCTTTGCTGTCTCCTGTTCGCCTTCAGTTTATTTTGAACCCAGTCCATACACTTTCTCTGGATTTAGTTTCCATTAACCTAGAAATTATTAGCCGTGCAACAGATTTCAGCTGAAACCTTTTTCCTTGGGATTGGCTACTCTTGCAGTTCCTATGACAGGACCACTCAGCCCTACCATCCTTTTTTTCCATAATGCCATAAACATTTTATTATTAGGGTCAATACCTCCTACATCGGGGTGGGTATTGTAGGCAAATGCTGTCAGCATGTTTTCAATTTTTGTATTTCACAAACAGACATCTCTTTTGTTGCATTCCTTTGGTGTTCTTCCAGCTTGTGTCGCTAAGTAGTCCAGTTTGTGACTGGCATTGGCTAGCACTTGTGTAAAAAAAACCCTGGATGTAGAGGTTAGTAGAGCTATGCGTTCTAACTAATTTTTTTCAATATGACATTGTGTAGGGTAAGATGAAATGAATGGCAAATAACATTCAAATCAGATGACTGATATCATTTAGCAGCAGAGATGTCCTTAGAGTGAGGTGCCCACACATTTTTCACTCTACATGCACACACCCCATTCTCATTAGGAAGCTGGGGGACTGTGGCGTAGACACCCATACAGTCCAATGGGTTGCCAACTGGTTAGAGAGTCGCACCCAGAGGGTGGTAGTGGATGGGTCCTTCTCGACCTGGAAGGACATGGGAAGTGGGGTCCCACAGGGCTCGGTCCTTGGGCCTGCACTGTTCAATATCTTCATCAGTGATTTGGACGAGGGGGTGCAAAGCACCCTGTTCAAGTTTGCTGATGACACTAAGATGTGGGGGGATGTGGGCACAATAGAGGGGAGCAACAGGCTACAGTTGGACCTAGATAGGTTACAAGGATGGGTGGAGGAGAATAGGATGGGGTTTAACACAGACAAGTGTAAGGTGATGCACCTGGGGAGGAACAATCGGCACCATACATACAGGCTGGGGAACTCCCCTCTTGTCAGCACGGAGGTGGAAAAGGATCTGGGAGTCATTATTGACTCCAAGATGAACATGAGTCGGCAATGTGAGGAGGCGGCTAGGAAGGCCAACTGCACCTTGTCGTGCATCCACAGATGCATCTCGAGCAGGTCCAAGGAGGTGATCCTCCCCCTCTATGTGGCACTGGTCAGGCCGCAGCTGGAGTACTGCGTCCAGTTCTGGGCGCCGCACTTTAAGAGGGATGTGGACAGCATCGAGAGGGTCCAGAGGAGGGCCACTCGTATGATCAAGGGACAGCAGGGTAGGTCCTATGAGGAAAGGTTGCGGGACCTGAACCTGTTCAGCCTTCAAAAGAGAAGGCTGAGGGGGGATCTTGTGGCCTGTTATAAACTGGTTAGGGGGGATCAGCAGGCGCTGGGGGAGTCCCTGTTCCCCCGAGCGCCGCAAGGAGTGACCAGGAACAATGGTCACAAGCTGGTGGAGGGAAGGTTTAAGTTGGACATCAGGAGGCGCTACTTCATGGTCAGGGCGGCTAGAGTCTGGAACCAGCTTCCAAGGGAGGTGGTGCAGGCTCCCACCCTGGGGGTTTTTAAGAGGAGGTTGGTCGACCACCTTACTGGGGTCATTTGACCCCAGTGCTCTTCCTGCCATGGCAGGGGGTCGGACTAGATGATCTGCTCAGGTCCCTTCCGACCCTAGAAACTATGAAACTATATCCAGCACATTCAAGTTGGAAAGTTTTCACTAACAGTGCCTATCAAGGAAGTGCATTCTTTTGAGCTCTCTTGGCTCCTTTTGAACTCTCATGCCTCTCAAGTCACCTTATGACTCCATCAGTTCTGAGATGAGCAAGTGTTTCTGTACAGTGCTCCCTTATACTGTCTGAAGGGTGATGATACACACCAGTAGAGCAGCAGGAGCAGTGGAAACAACCTGTAACTGATACTGTCTTTCTGCAGTATGTATGTAGAAGGCCACCTCTTCTACTACATGGTAGCAGCATCTGTATTCATTTAAGCAGTGTATTAGACTGCTTTATTGAGAACAGCAAACCAGTCAGCCTCCAACTTCCTTGTCCTTCCCCTCCTTTTGGAGACACTATTTCAGTTCCTTGGTGCTTGGAAATCATTACAACAGACCAACGACTAGGTTACACAGTAGAGTATGGCAGCATTTCTCAAACTTGGTGCCCCGCTACTTCACCCACAATTCCCCCAGCATTGCTTCTCCACCACTGATTCCTTTTGCTGCCATTTTCACCCGCCACTGATTGCTGCTGTTTTCAGACATATATAATTGCCCAGAGAATTAAGTGGTTGTTTTACCTGTAGTTCTCTGAGATGTTGGACATGTTTAGTTCATAATCCACCCTTCTTCCCATCTACTTTGGAGTCCAGTACTACCATGAGCCTCAAGGCATAGGGTTAAGAGAGGGTCAAAGTGGCACTGCCTTTTAGTGTTCCTGTTGGAGACTTGAAGAAACACAGGGTACATGTGCTAACAGGCACTGCTAGTGACAGCTTTTTCAAGTAGAATGAGCTGGGCTTGCAGACCCGTATAATGGACAAGACACAAGCTATCTGAAAGAACAATAGTTGAAGCAAGTGTAACTATTTTTTCCATTCCTTTTAAATATAAGGTGATATTAAAGAAGATGGTGAAGGCAAGTTGCTGCCCACAGAGAGTAACAGTGTTAATGAGTCGCTAAAGCAAGAAACTGGTTGGGAAGAAGAGAAAGAAGAGGATTTTCCTACCTTCTTTAGTGTCATGAGTAATAGGTAATGCAGGCCACATAATACTGCAGGCCATATAATACTTTTGTAATAGTGATGGTTGGAGTAGGGCAGTCTAGTAGTTGAGCCCTGTCATTTAAATGCCACTTCATGTGGATTTTTTTTTCTCTCTTCATTCCTATTTAAAATAGAACTGGTTTTCCTTTGCAAGAATATCTGGCAGCAGTAATTGAACTCTAAGAAATTAGCCATTAATTATGATAAGGGGAATTTTTTCTCCCAATAGAGAGACCAATTTATCACAGATAGTTTAATTACAGTTGTCTTCCAGGTTGCAACCTACCATTCTGATCAAAGACCTTTATTTATATTTGCAGTCTGCTGGGCTGCATTCACCAGTAGCTGAAGCTGGCAATGAAGTAAATGGAACTTGTTTATGCCAGTGACTCAATAAGTGTATAATTTGCTTCATTCACATGAAGCAGATATGCAATGTAATTTCTCTCAAATTGCATGAATGGCAATATTTAAAGTAGTGATATCTTTGTTTGTAATGGAATCTCTAGGTTTAGCGATATTGAACTTCAAGAGGATGATGGCATACCCACAGAGGAGTTTCTGCAATCATGTTATGCAATAGTGCCCGTCTTGGGTAAGCAGTTACTTGCTTTTGTTGTGGCAAGTGCATGTGGGCTACATTTTGGCTCTGGAGTTTTGGTCCTATTCTAAAAGAAAAAGATTTACTCCTTTCTATGGGTTTGGGTTTTTTGTTTTGTTTGGGGGGGTTCCACTTAGAAAAGCTGTTAGAGAACAAAGAAATGGATGTTGTGGAGATATGGCACTGGAAAATGGAAAAACTGGTTTAATATGTTTCCTTTTTCTTCTAGACAAACTTGGACCAACAGTCTTTGCTCCTGTTAAAATGGATTTTGTTGGTAATATCAAGGTAATAGTAATTTCTGGCACTGATTTGTAAACAAAATTGGACAGAACTTTGCTGTTCTCCATAAGATTAAACAGCCCAAATGGGTAAATATAACTACCAGTGTCTTTGGGTGCAGGCATTCAACCAAACTGAAACAATTTGTATACAAGGAAAGCAAGAATGTGGTATGCTTGAAGGATATAGAAGTAGATTAGGCACATTGATTATGTAGGAATTTGTTGTGAAAGTTTGTTTTAGGAGGTTTTGTAATATCAGCCTAACACTGTTGTCTGCCAGGTCAGAATGCTGAAACGGATGCAAATTTTGTTCTAAAAGCACACACTACCTTTTTTCCACGCAGTCATTTTTTTCTAAGAGATTCTCAGATATACAGCATTTTAGATAGTGTAGTTTAACAGCCTGTGCATATGACCTTGGATTTGGATGCATCTCACAATTATTGTAGAGTAAGTCACCCTCCATTTTGCTTTGTCGTTAGGAGTGGACACATGATCCACTGTCCCAGTATACACTGTGACAATGCCTGGGCAAGAGATCTGGTGTCCTTTGAGCAAATGGCTACCTAGGATGACATTTGACTGGGAGAGCAGACACAAGACCAGTATATGCTGGTGTAACTAACATAAGTGTATAGTTGCTCCTTGCTTATGTAGGGGTAACTTTTTAAAATCTGGAATGTAGTGACCTATGCTGATATAAGGATGTGTTGTCTGCTCCAGTTTTACTAAGGAATAAAATCCAATTTATAGTTAATGTTGTGTGTCCATGTGCTCTGATTCTGAACTGAAAGGATTTTAAGGTATACAATCAGGCAGTAGCTATTAAACCTTTGTTCATCATATAGGCTAAAAATAAACATCCTTCTTTAAGTAGAAGCCAGCTAAACCATTAAGGACCAGATCCCTCAGACGGTATACCAGTAGTGACTTACATCAGCTGAGACTCTGGTTCTGAATTTTTCTTTGATCCAAAGCTTTGAGAGGTGCTTAAAAAGTTAAACTTTTAATGGGGAACAGAATGTAATTGTTGACTAGTATGATACCAAGTAAGTAGTTTTTTTATTTACCCAGTGATTCTGTGTTGACGCTTCCAAAAGGATATTCTTTGGTGTTTAGCTCCTATCTAGGTTTATTTCAATAGGAGATGTAATAATTTAAATAGCCTTTATTTTTTTTTCATCTCGCCTTCAGTTTCCCTACTACATGATATTGTAATATCTGCTAACACTGAGCTAGTGTATAGATCATACAAGTTGTAAAAACCAAGAAGGAGTGGAAAGATAGTACTGAGTGAAAGTAACTCCTATTTCTGATTCAAAATGAGAGCTTATTCAGACTGTTTTGACCTCTGTTTTTGAAAAGGGTGTTGTCTGAAATGAGCATCTTTATGAAAATAATGTAAATTTAAGTGTTCTGATGACTTTTAATACAGCAAGGGTGCTCAACCTGTGGCCCATGGAGTCTTGTCATCCAACCCACAGGACTCCCCACAGGTGCAAAAATTTGGCTGTGTTTATTGCTGCTCCCCTGCTGCCAAATTTCTAGACCTGTGGGAAGCTGTCTGCATGGATGGCACGGCCTTGCACAATGGATCAGACAAAGTGGGATCCAAGTGGCATGGTATGGGATGCGGGCAGTGATCCTGAATGTCTACCCGTGAACAAGTGCCATGCCATTCATCTGGCCCACAGAGCCAAAAGTTTGAGTACCTCTGTAGTAGAGAATCTGCTGCACCAGCCGCTGTCAGTATTATGTTGCTTTTCTTTTGGGTGGAGGATTCTGAGCAGGGGTCCCTGCCTGAAAATCAAGTTAATCATAGATTCATAGGTGCTAGGGTCGGAAGGGACCTCAACAGATCATTGAGTCCAACCCCCTGCATAGGCAGGAAAGAGTGCTGGGGTCAGATGACCCCAGCCAGATGCCTATCCAGCCTTCTCTTAAAGACCCCCAAGGTAAGGGAGAGCACCACCTCCCTTGGAAGCCTATTCCAGCTTTTGGCCACCATCACTGTGAAGTGTTTTTTCCTGATATCCAGCCTAAATCTGCTCTTTGTTAGTTTGGGACCGTTGTTCCTTGTTACCCTGAGAGGTGCTCTGGTGAACAGAGCATCTCCGATCCCTTGCTGCATCCCCCTAACGAATTTGTAGGCGGCCACAAGATTACCTCTCAGCCTTCTCTTGCAGAGGCTGAAGTGGTCCAGGTCCCTCAGTCTCTCCCCATAGGACTTATCCTGTAAGCACCTAACCATACGAGTGGCCCTCCTGGACCCTCTCAAGTCTATCAACATCCTTTGTGAAGTCCAAAACTGGATGCAGTACTCCGACTGTGGTCTGACCAATGCCACGTAGAGGGGAAGTATCACCTCCTTAGACCTGTTTGTCATGCACCTGCTGATGCATAATAAAATGTGGTTAGCTTTGCTGATGAAAAGTGCGGTTAGCTTTGCTGATGAGGGGGAAAATAGATAGGACTGTTTTATGGCCTGTTGCTGCCACTCCTTATTTAAGTGCTAGGTGATTGTTAAGGCCCACCTATTCCTTTCCTTCAAATGTGGTGTCTGTATCTCCATGTATATTACAAGTAATTGGTATAGGAACCATAATTTTTGCTATTTATGAGAGGCCTGGCAAATGAGCTATTTATTAGAGACAGAATTTTTTGTCTTTATAAAATGTAAAAAAATAGTATAAATTCTGTTGCATTTTTCTTCAGAAAATAAATCAGAAATATATAACTAACAAAGAAGAGTTCAACACTCTGCAGAAAATAATATTCCACGAAGTGAGTGCTGAGGTAGCACAAATAAGAAACTCTGCTACAGAAGCCCTCTTGTGGCTGAAAAGGTAAATGCCTAACCTTTAATTTAATTTTAAGAAGTAACCAAGATCGCTTCACCAGTGCTGGCTGAATGTAGGAAGCAGTTCTTGCAAGCTTCTTTGCCACCCAAGTTAGTCCAAACTTGGGTTCAAATTTCCATGCCATGCAAATAATTTAAGTGCACTCTTTCTGCTAGTCAAGTGACAAAATAATCATGCTTGACTGTTCGTGTTGGCCCCCTTGAGTCAATGATGGGACTAAAGCTACAACATACAATCTGTCTTGCATGAGTGACTGGTGCCTCCTCAATCTGGGGGGGCACCTGCAGAAGCTGCCAATGGCGGAGGCCTTGTCAGGGAGAGCACCAGCCCTAATGACAGCATCAGTGTCAGCCGTCGGGGGGCCACGTGCACCCTCTACCAGTCACCTATGCTGTCTTGCAGTACAGCTTGCTTAGGACAGCCCTTATGAGGAATTGAGAGGGAGATAGCGGATTTTAACAAATCCATCTCACTATATACATTGCTACTTACTTTGAGTTTTGTCTTATGAGTAGGCCAAAAAAGAGACTTCATCTTGTGTTGTCTCTGTGGAATTCAGTAAGCCACTAACATGGCGACTGTATTCATACTTGTTGCTAAAATGTCTTAGAACTATGTTCTTATATTATGCAGCCTCAAAAATTACTTTTTGAAATAAAAATTATATGCATTTTTGCATTTTTGGTTCCTTTCTGACAGAGGCTTAAAGTTTTTGAAGGGGTTTTTGACAGAAGTAAAGAATGGTGAAAAGAATATTCAAACAGCTCTGAGTAAGTGCCAATTGTTTTGTTTTTTTAATATATACTTGAGCTTTTTTCTCAATTTTAATATTACTGTTGCTGTTCAATTCCAACCTATATCTTCTCCTGTTCAACTCCAACCTAGATCTTCTCTGAAACCCATCTCATTGAAAATGTATCTTTACAGAGAGCTACATTATTGGTAGTCCATCTTTCTGTAGTAGAAGGATAAGAATGAGCATAGTTAGCATGTGCTTTACACAGAAGGCAGACCCTTGTCTAACAAAGAAGAGTATGCCACCATTTCATTTTCTTCTGCAGTTATCGGTAGGGTAATAAGGAGCTTTACATATCACCAACATTACACATCTAATATAATAGTGGGATTTGGGGGACACAGCATTTCTGCATATATGTTCTTGCATTTATTTTAATACAAAGTAATAATATATTCAATACCATGTTAATAATTTAGCTTGTTTAGAACCAGTTTCTTCCAAACCATTCTGGGAATGGTTGGGAAAAAATAAAGTCACCAATCCACATAGGAAATGTACAGTAATACCTTGTGCTTTTGTAGCTGGAAGAGGCTATGACCACAATTCATCAATTAAATAAGTATCCTGTCTTCAAGCTGAGCACCCTCCTCTGCTGGCCATCTTGATCAACATGTGTGTACTATTCACCCTCAGTTTCTGCAACTACATTTTATCTAGAAATGAAGCCTCATGACATGAAGAAAGCTATAACTGGCCAAAAATGTATTAGCTAGTCTACAATGCTTTGCTGTCTGCACCCAGTTGATGCAGACTCATATTCATAGTTCCTGTTATTCAGAGTCTTTTATCTGGATTGGTTGTGTCAGTCACCCCTCTTTTTGCAACCAGAACCTCCCAAGACAGCTAAAAACTTGAAACTGTTTATTAGCAGAGCATGAACATGGAGAGAGAAAACCTTCCTAGAATTCACTATGTCAGAATTGTAACCACAGGCTGCCTCGCATTTGGAACTAAATACAGATCCTATCTTGGATTTAACTGTCCTTTAATTAGCTCGTATTGTGCACACAAAATATATCCCAATACCATATTGTTCTGATCATAAGATGACTCCACTTGTAAGTCAACCCACATTCTCGGGTGCAGTTTTAGAAAAAATGACTTGTATTCAGAGAAAAAGTTATGACTACAGATAAAGCTCTTGAACTGCTGTTGGCCTTCCAAATCCCACAGGAGAAACAAGCAACCAAGAAATGGACCCAAAGGGTTAAATGCAGTAAAATGCTTAAAAAAAAAATTAACTGAAAAAAATCTGACTGGCTAATTTTTAGAGGTGCACCGATATATCAGTCCAATATCGGATCAGCACCGATATAAAGAAAATTGTCTGTATCGGAAATTGGCCTGATATGGCTGATAATTTGGCTGATAAATGGCCCGTGCATGCGCAGCCACAGTGCAGCACATAGGCAGCGAGGAGCACAGCCTGGCAGCTTAGAGCAGTGTCCAACTGGTAAGTCTGCTGTGGTGGAAGGGGAGGGAAGAGGGAGGGGGCATGGGG